GAATGCAGGAGTCCAGATTCCCTCTCTCATCAGTGGGAGAAGCAGACCCTTGAGAAGGCAAGTTCTCCTTGTCTCTTAGACACTGTTTTAAGTGGCATGAATCACCTTATGGATCCACTTTTCTCTATTCAGGGAGCTTAGAAAATGGATTCAAACTAAACACCTGTCCTCTGGGTGGGTGAAATGGTTAAGGTGAAAATGGTCCTGGAGCAATTTCCTGTGCTGTGAACTTGCTACTGGAGGGAAGCTGCTCCCCCATCTGGTGGTCTTCACTTGTTCATCTCTTCCTCATTTCAGAGGGTAAAATCTAGACAAGAACTCTGGTCTTCTCCTTTCCCAGGTAAGTATCCCCAAACCAGCTATGTTATCAAGTCTCTTTTGTTCTCTCTCATGCCAAAAGGTTATTAAATTCTAATATATTGTGAAATGATATAAGCATGAGGCACATCCTCTTCACAGCTTTTTTCTCTCGTGACTTTCTGGTGGTTGTGATACTTGCCAGTCCCTTTAGGCAGCAGCCTGCGGGGTTTATCAGTTGAGTCATTTGATGCAAAAGGACCCTCCTCTTTTGCTGGGATGTGATCTTGTAGAGGCTTTGAGAGGATCACAGGTAGAAAGTGTAAGTGTAGTTCATGAATCTGGACAGGTCAAAGCATGGTGGGGCTCAGCACCTGACCACAGATCAGGCAGCCAAGTCAAGGCATGCCCAGAAGAAGACTTGTAGACTCTATAGGACATTTAACATCAGAGGCTGAGCAGGGATTTGGTACCCAATGATGTGGGGTTTAGAGTTGATAATGAAAGTTGGGTTAGCAAGTGCCTTTTGAATATCAGCTCATCTCCTACTGAAACCTGAGATTTAGGAGCCCAAGTCCTCCCACTATTTTGTGTGATAGTTAGAATTTTAGGAGCCTGTGGTGTCAAGGGGGTGCTGTTGTTACTCCTGAAAATACTTCCCTTAACCACTGAGACCAGGATGTGAATAAACTATTTGGTTTAAAAAAAAAAAAAAAATTACTTTAGAATCCACAGTAAAAATGTGTTGTCTTACAGATTTAAGAGTTAACACTCTTAAAAGAGTAAACAACTGAATTTACTTGTTAAAATAAAATGAAATAAAAGCAATTAGTGGTAAAGAGTGTTCCATGGAAGGCAGGGCTGGGTGTAGTTGGGCTGGTGGTGCTGGGAAGGAAGGGTGCTGCACCTACACCACTTCCTTCATGGTATGTCAAATAAAGCCCATGCAAACACCTGAGTATGACTTTGAGGTTACAAGAGATGGAGAAGTAGGCACCAGTTAGCCTGTCAGAGGCACTGGTCAAACGCAGCAGTAGTACCATTCTTCATATATTTATTTTCCTTTGAGGGAGGTATTTTTTGGTAAATTTGGATGTAAAGGAAGGATTTGTCTCCTCTTGGCTTGGATCATTTCACAGTGTTATAGACTGTAAAGGCATCTGCTCAATGCCAGAGGAGAACGAACGGGACTTTTTCCTTTCCATGGCAGAACAAGACTTTAATGGTCTAGTGGTAGTAATTCTGTATTGCAAAGGAAGTTGATAAAATAGAACATAAACTTCTCTAATAGAGGATTTAATTACCAGGAAAGCCAGGCCGAATGAAGCATTTGAGCAGAACTATTTCATTGCTGAAAAGATGATGATTATTAATCCCCTTTCTCCAAGGCCACGTCATTTATTCAGGAGGACCTGACGTACTAAGAAACCACATGGATCTATGGGTGTGCATTTGCTTGTATGTCTTTGTGTTGTTTGTTGTATTTTTTTTCTGTTTGCATCCAAACAGACTGTCACTACTCTTTATAAAGTCTCAGACTTTTCTCTGACTTTACTCAGATTTCCAGCTGAACTCGTGTATCCACATGATCAAGCTGAAACCAGCCAAAGTAATCAAGGGACTGGACAGTAGGCACAGTGGTAATGAATCAAAAAGCTTAAAAAGCTCTTAAATTGCCATTTCATTCTTCAACACACGAGCATGGCTATCAAGTTTTAACTGCAGTGGAAGGATTTATTTGTTTTATCTTAGAAACAGAGGCTTCTCTGAAACACTCTATTAGTCAATATATCATCTTGTTCATGTTTTATGCTTTTGCTTTTCCAATATACAGTTGGAAAAGAAATAAATGTGCCTGATGACACCGGGGTGAACACCTGTAAAGTTCTAAATGCAGTTCTGGTATTTAGCCTTTAAACTTAATGAGATTAAACACGGACTCCATCCATACAATTCATCCTAATGACTGCTTTGTAGTTGTTTTCGGCAGCCAAATTGTGTCACAATGTGTGCCATGGTCAGGCAGTAGCAGCTACTTTGGGAGGAGAAATCAGGCTGGGAGCCTTCTGCTGTGCTCCCAGCCATGGGCATACTGCCCAGGAGTGGGCTGAGGGACTGCCAGGCTGTGCAAAGCCCCCCCAGAGACATCCTCACCTCCACCTTTTGCCCTTCATGGCCAAAGCTGATCTCAGCACGTCCCCTCCATAGCCCCTCTGCAAAGAGAGCTGATGCTGTGCAAGGCTTTTGCCAAGTGAAGAATTCGGGTGTTCACATTTTTTAACAGAAAAATAATAAGCTCATCATCTTGAGGGTGGATAATGCCACAAGCTGCCTTTCCACTGGTGTTGCTTCTCTTCTGTCTCTTTAAGACAGTGTTATACTGCTGTGGCCATTTCTACTGGTAGGAAGGCTGTGGTAAGGATGAGACTATGGGTGGGATTTACTTTACATATATGCAATTAAAGCAGTAAAACTGATTTGTGCAAATACACTTTGAGACTGACAAATACTGAGAATCTGTGGCTTTTTTTGCTCAAGGCAAAAATCCGCCATGGCTGACGGAATCAGGTCAGCCCACAGTGACTTTTTTTCCACACAAACAACTTCACTCTGTCAATGCTTTCTTCTCCCTCCTCCTTATCCTGCCCAAACACCTAATGACATAGATCCAAGCTAAGGAAATATAACTGCAGCAGAGTCTTCACTTGAAAATAAAGCTGAGTATAGCCCCTGCTGGGGAATGAAACCATGGGATGGTCTGTGAGGGTCCGGCACCAACTTCTTCAACGAGAGCAAGCAAGGAACTGTGGGGCCAGTGAGCTGGTGGGGCTCCCTGAGATCTGCTGGTCCTAATTTCATTTTGGAACCAAATCTTCACAAGGAGAGGGATGGGGAAATCTCTTTTTAGACAATTTTCACTGTTAGTATATTCATATTTTGACAATGAGTGCTGCTGAAAGGCTTGGGATGCTTTGGTAACACCAATGACCTCTATAAGGACTGGCCAAGGGAGATCATCTCAAGACATCAGGCGATGCTCATACAACAATGTTAAACCTTTGTGGGGATGGTGCAGTTTGGGTTCAGTGTAACATTAGCCAGCTGTAGCTGAATACTGATTGTTCAAAGCAGGAGTAATCCAAGGCCACTCCATCAATGAAGCAGAAATCTGCAGAGAGGTACTGACCTTTTCTTCATCACTTCAGTTTTCTTAAGCAGCTTTGTACACCAAGTCCTGTGTAGTGTGAGTTTGCAAAAATGTATTTAATTTTTATTAAGAAAGATCTTTGAGAGTAACCTGGAAGAATTAAATTAGAGATGTACCCAGTTCACTCTTCTTCCAGGATAACACTATGTCCCTTTATGGCTTCATCTACATAAGCAGTCAGATCACTCTCTCTGACATACAAGTGTGTCATTCCCACAATGCATCAAATCCAAACTGAATAAGAACATGTCTGTAGATCTACAGTAGGTGTGTGCTAAAGTACATACTAGCACTCTGGAGCACATTCCAATTGATTGCTAAATCATAGGGAAAAATGGTCAACAAACAATGAAAGAACAATTTTACTTGGCATTTTATTCACTTAACAGAAACATTCACTTATCAGGTATCACTGAAGTGCAATTTACAGAACTTAGCAGCAAATTCACATATGTAAATTCAGATTTATTTTCTTTTGTTGTCTTTTGTCTTTCTTTTTCTTTTTTTTTTTACAAATATTACAAATGTACATCCATTAGTACAGTATTGCCATTCACTCATGCGTGTTATGTACAGAATCTTCACTGCAGAATTACTACTGAGCATTTTTTCCTTTGCTTCAGGAAATGCTGCATGTAGGTCATGTGTGCTTCTGGGATGAGGTCCCATCACACTCTTGCTGCACATAAGGAGAAGAAACAGATATTTAAGGTCATATTCAACCCTGGTGCACGCAGGTGCAACTCCACTGCCTTCAATGAGATGAGCTGATGCCCACTTGCAGGGGGGACTTGGTTTGGTCCCCAGTATTAAATTCATTCTGGCAGCTGAATGCAGGGTTGCATTTATGTATTTCTTGCAACAAAGGTTAATTCAGTCCCATCGCACTTTTCTTTATGTCCTTAAAAATAACCAGGCATGGTGCTTTGTTGTCACAGTAGCTGCAACACCAGCCTGTGGAATCATATGCATTAATTCAGTTGATGTCATGCCACAGCTGGAGGAGAATGGATGAGGGCAGGGAGATGTAAGGAAGAGCCATTGAGGTCTCTTGTGTGCTAGATAGGGATGAATTTGGAGAGGAAAAGCAGAAGATGTGCTTCCTCCTGCCCTGTGGATCTCTGCATGAGAAACCTTGTCCTCCTCTCTGGTCGCGCTGTGGTTTCTCTCCCTCGGTGGGAGCAGCCAGAGCCCCTGGAACCACCACTGCCAATGTCACCGGCAGCTTGTCCCACACCTCCAGTCATTGGCCTGCCCCCCCCCCTGCCCACGGCCCCTCTGGTGCCCAGATCACACTGGAGGTCTGCACCAGTGACAGCTTTGCTAGAGGACAGGACCATGTGGAGGTACCTGGAAGCTCCAGAAGGTGCCAAAAATATTCTGAATGTTCATCAGCAGAGCTGACAAAGTGGTCAAAGTATTGAGAAGGTGATTACTGCAAGGTGTTTCCATTATTGAAACATCTCAGGTTTTTGGTTGATTTTTTCTTTTTTTCTTTTTTTTTTTTAAACTATTTCTACTCTAAGGATACTTTTTTAAATATTTTTGGTAGTTAATATGGAATGTATTATTTTGTTGAAAAGGTTTCTAGAAGGGGAGAGCTTTGTTTTATCTAATTTAAAAATTCTAGTTTATCACAATTGTTTTTATACAAGACACTATAGATACATCTTGTAGTTTATAATCTAAAAATAAAATCTCATCAAAATACTGTAGCTATTCTATTGTGGGCATCAATAAACAATGTATTTACTGTATATGGCTCTCCAAACATGATAAACCCTATACAAAGAGCATCTATCTTTATTGATAGGAACAGTTTCCCGTGTAAAGGAAATTACATGGAAAAATATGAGCCTTGTGTTGTTTGAAAAGTAACTCAGCTTGACAGTTCTGAGAAAATACCAAGACAATTATCACAAATCAATAGCAGCATGTTATATACAGATTTAAAGAGAATCACAGGAATAAAAAGAAAGCTGTAGTCATATACCCGCAAATCCTGTCATCTAAAACCCCAAAAACTTAGAGAAATGTACAGGGCATTTGAAAGTTGGTTTTGCAATGGGACTATCAAAGCTCAGTTCTCTCATGACTGTATCTTCTGCATGCTGATGAAATTTGGGATGGTTCAAAGATGAGATTGTATCAGACCCAGCCACAGTTATGAAAAAAATATTTAACTGTTGGGGTATACTTGTCTCCTAAGTGAAAAAGTCCATCTGCTTTTCAGGCTGCAGATGAACATGAATAATAATAATAACACTTGGCATTTACAAAGAGCTGGAATCTGAAAGCTCATGCATTGAGTAAGACCTTACCCTGTAGCCTGTAGTTGCATCTGCTGTGCTTATGTCAATTGGACTGTATGGGGAGGTAAAACTCACTGCAAAAGTGACAGAATCTGGCTTACACTGTTGCATATGACCAGGCATTTTGATCCTGCCAAATTCCTTAGATGTGAAGCATTTAAGCAGTATTATCCCCATTTGACAGGTGGAGAAACTGAGGCAGGAAAGAGCCAAGTATCAAATGTGCTCTCTCGTTTGGGGATGTCTTAGTTGTGGGTACCCAACCCAGTGATTGTTCAGATGCATGAAGCATCCTGAGCTCACATCCACTTAATTCAGAGCTGTGGATCATCAGAAGCTTGCAAATCTGAAGCTCTGGGTCCTGACTATAGCCTGCCTGATTTTAGGCAGCTACCTGAAGATCCAGAGCCAGCAGCATCGTCAGACTGGTCTTCAGGCAGCGCAGGGTTGAATTGCCCTCTTGACAAGGATCTGCATCCTGGCTGGTGTCTAAAGGGCATGTGTGATGAACTGAGCCTGGAAAAGTAAAATCTGCAGCATGCAGAGGCTTGTGACCAGAGTTGAAGATTTGGGGGGAAGTGGTTGTCCAAGGCGTCAGAGGGAATATGTGTAAAAACCAAGGGCATCCTGACGCCTGGCTTTGTGCTCAGAGCCAGCAGTGGAAAATGGAATTTAAAAGTGCTCATTATCTTTGAGGTCCAAATTCTTTATCACAGATTTAGGCAGCTAACAGAATGATTTTTGCATAGAGGTTAAACACCTTTTATTGTGAATGATTATTGGGTGCTCTGAGAGCTGCTGCCATGCTGTGTGCCCGGGGTACTTCCATCTCTGCTCATTATTTTCCATTATTCAGTGATGACTCTTGCACTGATTGTGTGAGGGAAAACAAACTCTGTTTTTGATCAGATCCACTAACACCTCAAATCAGTAATAACCAACAGCAATAAACAATGAAAAGTGGAATCTTGGTGGGGATGGCATTGTAATTTGGGCAGGTACGTTCTTGGGAAGGGATCATGAAAAATCAGTTTTCTAAGGTTGAGTTCAGTGCATCAGACACCTTTCTACTTATGTATTTCCAATACATAATTAAAAGCAAATATTCCAATGGAGGTTGCTATTAAATCTCAGACTGCTTCAATTCTCTCTGCTCATGCGTCCTGCCTCGCCTTCTCTCCAGCTGATTTGATCCAGTTGTGTAGCAAAGATGCCGAGTGATTTACACAGTTAGCAGGAACTGATCTTGCTCTGGGGGTTTCTTCACCCAGGTGCCCAGACCGGCTTTCTGAAATGCTTTAAACAGCTGCTGCTTAACAGACTGGTACGTCTGAGCCACCAGCTTTGCCTCGCTGTACACTGATGGCATGTCTCCATGGCTTAGTACTCGTGTGCTCAGCTGCAGAACAAAAATCAGGAAAGGGGAAAAAAAATGAAATAATAATAAAAAAACCAACCAACGAGCCAAAAGAAATAGGAGGCTTCAATAGCTGTATAATCTTCTTACATTTCATAAGCAGAAAACAAACTATCACTGTGCTTTGTGTATTTGCTTTTAGTTTAACAACCAAAAAAACAGGGGAGCAATAAATGCCGATGGCATGGTTTTGAGCCATTGCAAGGAGCAAAGGGGTGAACAGCTTTGCCTTGGATTGGGCATAGGCAGTAGCAAATCTTGGTGTGTTCTACAAAGGCAGGATGCTATTTCTCAGCTAAGATGAATTTTAGGGACAAAAAGGAAAAAAATCCTTTCTGGAGATGCTTGAAGAATGTGCTCAGTTTAGCCAGGGAAGCAGAGCAGCTCAGTGCTTCCAAGTAATGCCAAGAGACAGAAGACCTTCCACACTCTACCATTTCACCTTTGTAACCTATTATTGGTGGAAATACTGTGAAACATGCCCTGGACAGGGCAGAAATCAGGCATCAGGTTTTGTGCTGGTGCAGGAAATCCAAGTGTTCTGTTCGAGCACTGGAGTCACCCACCAGGAGATACCTCAGGCCAAACCAGTGTCCAGTGCCCCTCATCCCCTGGAAGGACACGCAGGAGCGAGCACCCTTCGCTCTGCAGAAGAACTAAATAAATGGACTCCTGCCCAAGTCTCTACAGTGCCAATCCAGCAGTGAGGCTTTGATGTTTTGCAAAAGAAACCAAAGTCAGAAAAATGCCTTGGAACAAGCAGTTGGGTGAATGCCCAATGCTTACATGACAGGGGAATAGCACCCTACAGGGAAAGGGACCCTCAAAGCACAGCCTGGTGGGCAAACAGCACTCTTTTCCTTCTCTCTAAACAGGAGAGATGCTGAGAGACAGATTAAAGGAGAACGTGAACATGCAGCCTGCAATGATCTGCTCCCATCTGCGTGTGCCAGCATTCCACGGAGTTGTACTGGCTGGGGCTGTACTGGCCCAGTCAGCAAGGGAGGGTGACACTGCCAGCCACAAGCTGGCCTGGTAGCAGTGGCTTCCCTCTGGTTGCCTCTTTGTTCTCTTTGCTCCCCAGAGGTGGACACTGATGACATTATCAAACACTGTTTTGTCAAGAGCAAAGTGCCCTGTTCAGCCACAAGTTCAGCCACCTGTGAGCCTCCTGCTCACCCCGACCTCATCCCTGGTGTGAGCCAGATGCAGTCCAGCTCTCTCGGCCATAGTTCCAGCTGTGGCCCTGATTTTGTTCCTGTGAGGATCACTCCATTCTGGGGGTGGCAGGAGTGCTCCTCGCCCTGCTTTCCATCTTCTCTGCAGGAAATAGGCTGGGACCTGTGTCGCTGAACTGTGACTGAGCCCTGGGCACAAAGCCCAGGTCAGTCTCTTCTGTTTACCTCAAGGCTCAGAGTCCCTGCTAGGACAGACCATGCCATCAGCCTCCCTCCCTAGGGATCTCCTGCAGAGCAGAACAACACTTTGGGCTTGTCATCAAACCTTGCCACCCTGCAGGTTCATTTTCCTTCCTTAATGACTTCACCGATGGGAGTGTCTCCACACTTCCATGCCATTGCTCTGTCTTGTTTGTTTCCACTCATTTCCCACTAGGAAAGAGGTTTTGGCACTTAATAAAATAATATTTTCTTGTCTTCACCTTCTCTCACTCTACATGGACTGCAGGACAATTATTGACAAGCCTCTTAGTGCATCAGACCTACCTTGCCATGAAGCTTCGCCCAGCGAGTGAAGAACATGTGCTTGCAGAGCCGTGAGGGACTCCCGCAGGTCCTCTTCCCTGTCGTGGCATTGATAACCTCCAGGTCGGTGTTCCCTACAATCCAGTTCACGCTGAAGCTGGGAGATTTTCCGGGCTGCCGGGCATCAGCATGGCTAATCCCTGAAGGAGAGAAGGACACCAGTAACCTCCAGGGTTCAAAGCACTCAGAGGGTGCTAACATGTGGTGGGTTGTTGTGGCACATGGGATATCCTTGAGTGAACCTGCTGGCATCGTGGACTGCACGTGCTCTTGTCACCATTGGTTAAACATTACCAGACCAACTGACTTGCAGAGACATAATTTAGCAGTTCCTATAGATTTTTTCCACCTTGCAGGCAAACCTTTCATTAGCCTAAGGAAAGCCTTTGGATTGTAGTGTGAGCTGTTGACAGCAGTTTGACAGTTGCTGAGTGAAATCTTTCAGAAAGGCTTTAATGGGATAACAGCTTTTTAAAAGGAACTAAGCAGTAAAGTGCTTTTGCCATGTGTCCCTTCAGGTGAGCTTTCCACAGTATGCTGGCATATTTATCTGCTATGAGCTCCTAGAGCCTTTGTTGTGATGGGATGTTGAGATCACAGGGGATATATACAGGGAATAAGAAAATACAAAACATACACTTCCTCATCACAGAGAGATTGTTAGACCTGAGTTAATAATTACCTTGTAGACATCACAGACCTACACAGAATAGTTTTGATCCCAGCCCTGTGTCTGCCTGTAAGATTCTTACTCCGTATGGGAGCACCAGCTCTTCAAGAACTAGTTAGTATCCTAACAGTGATATTTTGGACATCTTTAGGTGGAATGAATCTTATTTAATTTTAGACAGCTGCAGTGATGAGGTTTACAGTCACCTGAAGTGATTGCATGACCTTAGTGTCATTCACATGGACAGTTTTGGACATTTGAGCTACATACTAAACCACTGCCTTCATGGGCGAGATCTCCCCTGGCTCTAAATGCAGACCAGGGCTACAAGGTCAGGAGTGGGTGTGTACATGAGTTATTTTTAATCATTGTCTCTTTTTAACCATTTAGTGTAGCTCATGAATCCTATTGCTTTCTCATTTCTTGTACCTGAAACAAGGGAATGATTAGCCTTTGCAAGAAAATAAGAGGAATAAAGGAACTGGTTGGTTTATTTTCCAGCACAGGATAAATGCAAGCAAGTGAGCTCTGCCTTGCCCTGCTCATTAGTGCTTTTGGAGCAAAGAATCAACACTCAGAGCTTCCAAGGCTGGAAAAAACAGAGTGACCTGAAGCAGTCTGAATATTTTTGAAAACATAGGCATTGGATGATGTGTCTGGATCCAGCTGTTGTGTCTCTCTCTGCTAATTTGCTGTATGAGCCACTAGCCTGCAAACCTGGAAAACAAAAGCCAGTGTGGTGAGCAGGCAGGTGGGGACTGTGCTGGTAGGCAGGAGCTGCCTGGCACAGCCACGCTGGCACAGGACAGTGCCAGGGCTGGGTCTCTATTTCCAAATGGCAGTTCCTGCTGGAGCCCCTGCCTGCAGCAGCTCCAGCGACAGCTCATGGTTTGCACAGCTTGGTGGGACCTGCTTTCACTGCTCCTGGGTACAGGGAAGCAGAGAAAGGTCCTTTGCATTTTCTACTCAGAGAGTTACAAAGAACTTTTGCAGAAGGCGAGAAGTGCTGATATGAGCTGTTCAGAGAGAAGGAGATTAAAGAAAAGACATCAAAGCCCCTTCTTTCCAAAGTGCCCCTTCTCACTCAGGGATCTCATTTTCAAAACAGATTCACACCATGAGCATGTGCTGGTCTCAGGCAGAATGGGAGGAGATGGGAGCTGGTGGGAATGCAGCACCTGTTGCTGTGCCGAATGTGTTGAGCTTGGTAAACTGCTGAGAGACACCACAAGAGAAGCAGAGGGCTGTGCAGGGTCTGTGGTGACCAGGACGCTGCCTCTGCAGGCAGCCCCTGTGTCTTACTGGGCCCCCTCTGCATCATGGGAAGCAATGGCAGTGAGGGACATGCTCGCTCTCTCCCCGGTCATCTCTGCTCTGAGAGGGAGTTGCAAGAGCCAGATGGTACTCAGCACACAAAGAGACAGAAAGGTGGCCACTGAAGGAAAAAATTATATGGTGCAAGCACTTTTTACTTTGTACTGGTGACAAAGCTGGAACAGCAGAAATCATCTCAGTCACTGGGACTGAACTCACTATCGTGTGTAGAAGAGAATTACAGCTAAGTCATAACCTCACCCAGGATTTGTAAACACATTCATGTCGTATTAATACCTCTTTCAATTTTTCCCCCCTGAGATAACAGATCAGTCTGCATCTAAAACTCCAGTTCACCTAGGCAACAGGATTTAAACTGAGAGCTTGAAAATCAGATAGCTGTGTGGTGCTTGAAGAGCACCTCTACACAGAATGGTATGCAAACAGATCAAAATCAGCTGTTTGACACTATGAAATCACTCTCTGTCAAGATAGCACCCAAAAGCTTAGAGCATTTGAGTGCCAGAAAACATGATGGCAAACACTCTGCCATGAAAAATTGCCACAGGCCACTAAATACATGAAAATGTTGTGAAAGCAGTGGCCAGAAGGAAAGGCTGCATGGAGGGCAGAGCAGGTTGTGGGTGCCCATCAGATGGGGGCTGTGCACTCCTGCCCAGCCTAGGACCTCCCTCTGGTCTTGGACTGTGAGAGTAGTCCAGTCTTGTACCAGTGCCTGGAAAACCCTCTGGCCTGGTTTGGTTTTCATGCTTTCTCTTCCCACCTATCATATATAAGTATACGTATTTAGGTAAGTAGAAGATATTTTCATATCATTTTCCAAATGCAAGAGAAGATGTTTTAAAGAAAAAACCCATGAAACTCATGACAGACACAAATATAGAGCCTAGATATATTCTCTGTTGGTTTTTTTTATCGTTTTTAAACACTTCTTCCAGATTTTCCTTTTGATTCAATTGTTCTAATTTTATTTGGAAAGTAGCACCCAAATAACCTAGATGATTTTATCTCCTTTATGTAAAATATCCTCCTTAAAATCCTCATGACAGAGTACAATAGAAGGCCATGGAAACTGGAAGGAAAAGAAACTTCTTTGCACACATAATATGAATTTGAGTACTGTGGGATATGAACTAAAATCTGTCCTCATTGTCCTCTCTCTCCCAGCAAAACCTTGTGCCTCTTCAGGATACCCTTTAGAACAGCCTCAGTCTCAAGAGAAGAGGATATAAAAAATACCCAGGGCTTTTCTTCTTCTAAAAATTACACCCAAGAGTAATCTCAGTGAATGAGTGGAGTTCCATCTAGCTGGGACTGGTGTGAGTGGAAAACCTCACTGATTATTTTTCAGTGGAGCCAAGGAGTTAATCTCAGGACATCTAATCACACACCATGCCTCTCCTCTCCATTGAAATGTTTGTACCGCTATGATCAAGTGACAAAATAATTGACACCCCTATAATTTAAGGGCTCCTGCAATCCTTGACTGGCCTCATCTCCGAGACAAGTATGGGAGGTGGAGTTGCCTGGCTGAGATTGTGGAGGTCTGGTTTCTAATGCATTCAGCATGGCTTTTGCTCAATGCCCATCTCCTTAGTCACTGGATATGCTGTCAGCACAGTTTCCCAGGAAAAAGAACTGCAGCATAAGCCTCAGCAATATAAGTTTTAATCAGTGTTGGCTCCCCGGGATTTGTGGGGGAGGGAAGATTACAAATAATGGCTTTAGAGACAAAAACAGTGCAGACAGAGAGAGAGAGAGATTCCTCCCACTGCTCCTGGGCTGGGGAAAACTCACAAACACAACCAAAAGCAAAGCAAATCCTTTTCCAGACAGAAGTCTCTCCGAAGGAGGAAGACAGCCCTGAAACATGCAGATGTTTAAAGTGGCACAAGGGCCCCTCTGATGCATTTTGAATTGCCTTGAAAACTCTGGCAACAACTCTTGGCATACATACACACTTGGGCCAAGTATTACCCACTGCTTTTACTCTGTAAGGCTTGCCCTGCAAAGAAATAGCTGTTGTGTGGTGAAATCTCTTATAAAATCCTCTACTGTGTTTTCAGCCCTCCCACAGTTCAAGTGGGTTTCCCTGTACATCCTGCAGACACAGTGGTAGTGTGTGTGCCTTTGATCTTAATGTATGGGAGCACTTATAACGAGTTAGGGCTGGCACAGGATGAGATCCTCTTTCCCAGTGCAAGATGCAGAGGCTTCTGGCAACCAGGGCTGCATTGTCAAAATAACAGTCAGGTTTGGGAAATGGGGAGATATTTCCTGACCAGCTGCGAGTCCTTTCCTCCCTGCCACGATGTTATGTGGGAAGAAAGAGGGGGCTGGGTCATGTCCATGCTGGAACAGGGTAGGTGGGACAGGTAGGGATATAGACTGGAGGGGGAGTGTGGAGCACAGCTTCCTGCCTACTTGTACTGCACAGGCTTTGGCTAGCTGCACTGAAGAGTTAAAAAATGGAGATAAGCTGCTGAAATAAAGATAAACCTTTTGACCTATTCACCTCATAACACCTACATGAATATTACACTTGCCAGATGTACTAAACCACACAGAAACTGAGAATTTCCCCAGTGGCTAAACTATCACTTCTGCCTCAGCCAAACTAATTTTGTCACAAGGACGTATTAAAAAAAAAAAAAAGCCCATGAAATAGATAAGGGATAAACCAGCACTCTCCTGATTGAGGAACTTAGGAGGACTTTGAAAGGCAATGGTACTACACTAAAGCTTCCTGATGTCCCAGCTCTGTAAAGCTGACATTTTATTGGTGTCTCAGGGAATCCTCCCAAAAAACAATTATCGAAGTCTAAGAGTAAAATAGGGATCTAATCTGATGCAGAACTGGTGGCCCTTATCACTCACATGCCTCATGAGGACCTCAAGGCATTCAAGATTTCATGGGATTTTGCTGGGATGAGGCTGGAGAGCTATTACTGGATGGAGGTTAAAGAAGTGGGAGTAAGGGGGATGGAGAAGAAGGACCAGAGACCTGGGGTAGGGACAGGGACTGGTTAGGAAAAGTGGTGGCACATTTTCCCCCCACTTTGTTCAGTGTACAGTGGTTGTTCTCCTAGTCAGCTTGTATCAACTACTGATCCTTTTTGTGGCCACTGCATATGAAAAACAGACCTGGATTTAAACACAGTTTCTTCATTCTACAAATTCATACTCTCCAGGGGAAAAAAAAAGAAGACATGAGATAATGGTTTGCTTAAACCCAAAAAACTTTTCTGTTGGTGACCAGCACAGTTAGTGATGGGAGAGGGGATCATTTGTCTGGCAGGCAGGTGTTTGCTTACCACTGAGAAGCAGCTGATTGCGCCGGTACGAAGCTGGCAGCTGACCAATGTCTTCTATCCTATGGCTCATTACCCGGGAAAGGTGACCAGTGTGGTAGAGGCTTCCCACAATGATGCTGTGCAAGTACATGGGTTCGATGAAGGAGCTGAGGAGAGCACCTTGGAGCCCAAGGATGTTCCATCTGAAAGGGAAATTCAGCAGCAATAAAGCACATGGATGGAGGAATAGCCACAGTAGAGCTACCCTGGAAAAATCAGCATAGGGCAGCACATGGCTTAGAGGGATGAGGGATGAAACCTTTCCTGACCCTGTCCTATGCTACACAAATCACTGCTGGGTTATTATACACCCATGGACTGATTCCCCCTCTGTGATGATTTTCGATTGCTGTGGTGCCATTGTCTTAAGGGATGTATTTCTGTCTCGTGTTACTACAAGTGGAGACTTCTTATTGGGAACTGTTCTTTCTCAAAGCATTTTGTGTTTGATGGATATTCATTTAGTGTGTCTTTAGCAGAATTTTAATGTTTTTTCCTGCGTCTATAGTTTTTCACTTGCAATGGTAGAGCTAGAATGAGAACTTTTACTACTCTACCTGTTTGTCATATATTACCATCCCCATGTCATACAGTCAAGCTAATACAAGACTTAAGTGGCCAAAATTCACACAAAATTTTTGAATGCCTCACAGGCTGACATTTCTTTGCAGAAATGACCATGAATATATGAAGACATTCATAAGAATTAAATCCTGGCCCTGAATAGAGAAAAAGAAGGACTTACAATTTTAGGAAATTAATTTTTAACCAATAGTTTGACCTGATTTAAAATGTTTGGAGTGATGAATACGTCTCACCCTGTTGCTATCTTAAAGGTGCAGAAGAGCAGTGGTGGAAACCTTGGGGCCTTCTGCCTGTTAATGACTGTGAGCTCCATGCTACTGGTGTTGGATTAGTTGCCAGAATGGTTCTGCATTTTAGTAGCCTATGATTTTTTACATCGAGCTAGACACAAATATGACAGCATGCTTGCTCTAAATTCTTCAGAGGACAGCTAATTGGTTAAAAAGTGGAAAAATTAAAAAGGGGAAAGAAGTCATTTTGCAGTTATCTTCTTGGCAAACCTATTCAGTTCAGCCCATCTAAGAAGTTTTTCCCCGCCACACAAATGCTAACATGTTCTCTCACACTTGATAATATTTTTATGTAAGTCAAAACCAGTCAATCTGTTTGAATAGTTTTGAGTTCAGGAGTTCAAACTGAAAATGCTTCAGAAAATGTAGTTCTGGAGAGTGTATTTTGGCTCATTAAAAACCAAAACACCGGCAACATTTGGAACTCCGTAGTTGACTGAAGGAAAGGGTATGAGTTGCCTGCTATTTAAGGCATCATCCAGTGGCTGCCATGCTAAATAATGTGTTTAAAGCAGAATCTCCATCAGCAGCAAGCATTATGGTGCTAATTTCTTACATCATTGTTCTTTTCATTAATTAACATTTCTCAACCGTTAGTGCAATTATTGCAGTGCCTCTGTGCTGTATGTCTCTTTTCATGATTAATAAGGAGTCATTATATTTCCCTTTCCCGAAGCAGTCAATTAACACGGAATACTTTCCATTAATTACTGAATGTTTAAAACCAGCATGCTGTACCTGGAGAGCAATCTGCTCTAGGAACCTGTGACACCAATTGCTTTAAAAAGTTCTCTTTAAATTTTATTCCAAAAACACAAGCAATTTAGCTGGCTATATTAATTTGCCTCCGAAGCAGGGCTGTGAATGAGAAACATCTTTTAATCTCATGCAAGAAAAGGCAGCCATCTGGCTGCTGAGGATTTCAGAGTCAGACTCTCACTGTCTCCCTCTGTAAATGCAGGCCATTAAAGTAATGTGTTCATCTACATAAAACTCAAATGAAATATAAAAGGTAATATTTATATACAAACAATTTAGTCCCACAATTTAAACAGTCATTGGTTTTATGAAACATTTACTTTAGTCGATCAAATTTGCATAACTTCATTTTGGGGAAAAAAAGTGTGGTCATTTCTGCAATAGCATCACTTTTAAAAGAAAGAACTAGTTGCCTCTTTGAATAAATATCTTATCATGATGCAAAATTAATAATGCAAGCTTAAGAAACAGAGTTAAATTCAGCTAACAGTACTATGCCTCCAACCAGTGTCTAAGGAGAGTAAAAAAATTAGACATATATCTTTGTCCAGATGGAAACTTGTAAGATATCAGTGTTGCTTTCAACATTTGACATTTTCTTAAAAAAAGCCTTGCATATTGGATTGAAGGAGAGAAAAGAAGCAGCTAAACAGAAAAACAACATATGTTCAACAATATTGGGATTTTAGCAATATGCAAATCACGAGAAATCATCTGAGCTTTATTTACCAAAATATGGGACTGTGTTCAGATTATAAATTAGAAGGTTATAATGATTATTTAATTTAAATTCTTCACAAGGAACCTGCTTTTTCTTTAGACATATTTCTTTGCCTAATTCTGGGTATATTCATCCTAGTGTAAAAAGCCATTCAAATGTCAATGGAATTACATTGTTGGAAATCATAATATAAGCATGATCAGGTCACCCGCTATGTATTGAAAGCATTCCATAAACATGAATTAATCCTTGCGGTGCTGCTGTAAGGTAAAGCCTCATTTTTAAGCCCTGAAGGATCAGGGCAGAAAGGCAGCATGATTTGCTGAAGTCTACAAGAGTTATTGGCTTCTGGACAAAATAGTTGTTCCTTGAGACAATTCTGTTTTCACATTCCAAAAGAAGGCACAGGCAGATGCAGGGGGTGATGAAGCTTCTGTATCTCACACAGTGGGTTTTGACTCCAGGGTATAAGTTTGACTCCAAGATAAACTGGACAGAGGAGCCAGACTAAAAAAATGAGGAAGAAGAAATTTAACAAAGACTTCAGAGCACAAAAGCAAGTCGTACCTGATGGGTAGAATGTGGTGCACAAAGAGACTGTCCCAATACCAGACACCATCCCAAGGTTGGAAGGACAGAGAAATCAGGAAATGTGCTGACAGTGAGAAGGCAATATTTGATAGGGACTGCTTGCTGGGTCTTCTTGAGCTATGCCAAGGCTGATGTCCAGCATCAGCATGGTGGTGGTGTGAAAGGGGATGAGGGTGGTGGCCACCTGTACAGTGGCCACTTCCCAGTTTAACACGGCACTGGTTTAGCAGCATTCAGTCAGAGAAAAGGGGTGAAGAAGCACAGAAAGAGCTTTGCTTCCAAATCTAGCCCAGGTTTGTCAAAGTGTTTAGACAGTTGCTTCTCTCTGGAAAGCAGCCCTGAGCATGTGCGAGTCCCATTAAGTCAGCACCAGTTCTAGGAAAGGTGAGATCCTGTGCTGAGCTGGCCAAAACCAGACCCCGGCACTGCTGCTGTTGTCCGTCAGAGCACAGTAGAAGCACATTAATGATGGGGGAAATTTTCAGTTTCTCATTCTACTGCTGTTCTGTGGATAAAAAGGCCTACCTTGGAGGGCAGCCAGTCCAGTATTGTGCGTAAACAATAGATTTTACTGACAAATATTTGGGGGAACGTCTTTTATAATCCTTTGTATTGTTCATCCCTTGACCAACACACGTGGCTGATGTCCTTTGATATATGAACAGCTATGGGATTTTTTATAGGTAGATGATAGAGAAAGGTCCATCTGAGCAACAATGAAACTATCAATAAGGATATTAATTTTGAAGGAGCTATTTCTCTGTAGTCTAATTTAGGTCCATGAAAGTAGCTGTGTTCCCATCTGTAACAAAGTACTCTCTTCAAATGTGGTTTTTCCAAATAAAATTATTATTCAAAGCAATGCAGTGTTACATTTTGGGTCCTCAATATATCAAAGTGACTTTTCTCGCTATGAGGAAATATGCTGGATCATTCTGAATTTTCCTAATTGTTCAAGATTTTAAGGGCTGTTTTCAAGGACACACATCTCTCTAATAACTTATATGCTATGTGCTTTGTAATAACCTTTCCAATAAAGTGAAAATCAACCCACTGCTCCCTTAGTCACAGATCTTATTAAAAAAACCCCAAATCTTCAGCAAGCTGGATCAATAAAACAGAATGTCTTCCCTTTTCACTCAAATAGGAGAGCTTTTTGTGCTTTAAATGGAAGGAAAGTATAGCCTTCCTTTTGTTCAAACAGTAGATATTACTGCACTGTTTACAAAGACAAAATCCTGCGTCCAGTTTTCAATATAGATAATCCTTGAATAAATATATTTTTGCCTGTTTGTCAATCACAGAAATGCCAGCGACAAGCTGGGAGGTGTCCCAGAGCAAGCAGCCTTTCTTTAATTAAATGCCGTGCTCCCCAAATCCTGGATGCAGAGTGGGTGGGGGTGAGACCCCATAGAAGCCCCTCCCAGCTCCCATGTTCCTGACAGCTTGGGACCACCAGTGAGGTGTGCAGGGAAATGTGCCCCCACATCAGAACCACAGCAAAGCCTCCACATGCTGAATCTGTCTACGCCCCCTCCCTGGGATCAACAGAAATATGGATGATAAAAATTATGAGGAAGGGGTTTGGAGGCAAACCGGTGGGGGTGCAGAGGGCTGCAGCCTTCCTCAGGTCAGCATGTGGTTCCTTGCCCATTGCTGAGACATGGTGTGACACCTGGAGTCCCTTTGGTGGTGTTTCTAGCATTGGTTTGCACATAGAGTTACTCAGAGCTGAAGGCTGACATGCTTCTGCCCTCAAACCCCTTCGAAACTGAGATGTGGAGAAATTCGCACAAGGCTTCAAAACATCTCAGGGAACTGTGTCCAGCTGAAGTGTTTCCTTGGGACCTTTGGAAACCTTGCCCATTAAAAAGCACTACTGATGAATTTCAAAGCTTATTTTGTTAAGGTTTTTTATAAAATACTTTTTTTTTTTTTTTGGTCATTATTAAGAGCTTTAAGTCTTATCCACTTGGTGTGTTGTTAACCTCCTGTACCACAATTTCTATTACCAATATTTCAAGCTATGCTTCACACAACATAAATTGTTATTCAGGGTGGTCTGTGCTCAGCAGAACACCTGTGGTGTTCCTATTTATATGACCATTTAGCTATTATTGGTTTGGAAACTGGAACTAGTGCATTAGTTTTTGATCTGTATTTTAACAGTGGGTGGTTTATATATGTTTTTTGGAAC